ATTTACACAATGTGGCAACGCAGGATAGAAAAACAGGTTTTAATTTTCATTCTTAGGAAGTGTATTTACACGGTGATGCGTAGAAGCAAAATAGGGAGTGCATTGACGGTTAGAGGGATAATAAACCATTTAGTTGTAAATGGCAACACTGGATTAGCTGGGATTCGGTGAAGTTTATCCACCGAGGGTTGAGCTGAGAAATAAGACGAGCAGGTGGAGGGAAGATGGCGGACACGGAAAATACTTTTAAGCGCATAAAATGGCAACGTTGGCATAGATGAGGAACAGGTTAGGTTCAGTGTGCGAGATAAACAATTTCTTGAAATAGAAATGATCAGGTCATGAAGACGATTTTTTCAGTAAACAACGACAACACTGTATTTGTATCGGATGACATGGACTGGATAAGTAAAGGCTTGATGGATGTTGACAGGTTTGGAGAGGCCAACGGTGTCTTCATGAAAAAATTATTTTAAAATTAAATTTCGGTTCAAATCGACAACACTGGGTTTCAGGTGAGCTTAATGTAGGCTTGACCAAGCAGGATTCCAGATTGTCATTTATTCAAAACGATCATCCATAGATTAAGCTGTTGATTTCATCATCAGAATTAATTTTGATTTGTCCGATGAAATTGGCAACACTGAATTTTAGATTGGGTTTGGTCAGGTTTATTAGCTGGATAATAAAATGATGGGGCACAGGGTGATGAAGCCAAGCTGAGCAGTTTAGCGAATAAAAAACCAAAATCAAAAGCAAAACAACGAAAAACCGATGAAAAATGGGAGGAGATAGATTGCATCACATTTCGTCGCATACCTAACGTAAGGGCGTAACTTCACTCTGCAATGATCCCTGCCTTCCATATCATTCAATGCTTTTCAGGGCTCATCACAATCAGTAGTCATGCCCGTATGTAAGCCAAGCGACGATTTCATTGTCAATCATCGCGGATAGTAGTTCCATTAGTTCAGTAAATAAGAATTAAATATTTCAGGAGATCAAGCGCAGGGTCCCGGGATCAGCGTTGGAAAAAAGGAAACAGAAAGACGAAGATTCATTTCATATGGGAACCCATCCCACGAGAGTGACAGGTTACTTCGAGATCAACCAGCTCCCCTCATTTGCATCTTATTAGTATGTATGCATGCATGGCAAACAATAATTAATACCTTACGTGGAATTGCAGAGAATAGAGAATAAATACTCACGCAATGATCTGATCTTTTTCCATGATTGTTTCTAGAAGAACGCCTTTGCTGTAAGTTCAATCACTTGACGGTCGCTTATCAAGAATTCACATCAACCCAAAACAAAGGATCATATGATCGCTACGCGGGTCGAAGGTGGCGCCCCCCACCTTCCGAATCAATCCGAAAATCCGCGACCTCGATCGCGATTGTGGTCCCCTGTCTCCCGGATCCACCCGCATCCTCCCATCGCTCGTCCGCGACGCCCGGCACTCGCTGGATCCCCTCTCCCTAGCCCCGCACAACGGAGCTCCCGGACCCCTCACTTGCGTTTACAGTGGAAGCCCGGGCGATTAATCGAACGGCTAATTCTTCCTTCTCGTCGACGGTAAAAAATGCTGGAATCTCTCCCGTGCCACTAGGTGTTTGAAAATTCGTGGTGTTGACCACAGTAACGTCTCTTTCAAGACGGTCAGCTTCGTTGATCATGGAATGCCAAGCGCGTGTTGACTCCTAACATAAGTGAGGTATGCAACCCGCATTTCATGGGAGTCGTGAGGGCTGCATTTCACAAATTATCGCTGAGCACCGGCGAGGTGCGCGACCAACATAGGACGCCTCCCGTCCGTAAGGTATGCAACCCGCATATCTGCACCTTAGGTCGACGAGGCACGCAACCCGCGACTGAAATGGACTTAGGTTAGGTTAGGTTAGGTTAGGTTAGGTTAGGTTGGGTTAGGTTGGGTTGGGTTAGGTTAGGTTAGGTTAGGTCACACGGTAACGCTGTACTTGGGTTAGGTCACACGGCAACACTGAACTTAGGTTAGGTTACATTTCGACATCTCAGGTGTTTGCAAGTCGCCATTTCCACTCTACTCATATTAGATAAGCATTTTATTTGAATGAAAAACTCAGTTGCTTTATTTCGATTCTCACAATTTCTTAATTAATTTATACTACGAGTATAACTATATCGAACAATTTACCATTTTACCTCGGTTGAGTTATCTGTTCGTGTTCCCGCCCTCCCATCAATTTTCAGAATCAATAAATGTAGCATAACTTGGAAACGTGGTTTGATTCAACCTTCATTATCACGGCCTAAGATACATTAAATTACGTGTAATTCTTTTGAAGAAATGATTTGCGGAGTCATTAAAAAATTATAGAAGCGTCTGAACGAGTTCAATTGCGTTGGATGTAAAATTTTCTAGCTCGCTTCGTATGTGCGAGAACTAGCTGCCCTCAGATTTTTATTCAACAATTACAAAGCAATTACACGCCGCTATAATGTAGGTGTAGACTGCGGTGAATGCAGTTAATAATTAGAGTTTAATGTGTATAGGGTGTCCCAAAAATAAGATACGAGGCTGATATTGTCTGATGCGATTAAAATGTGATGCGAGGATAGGAAAGAAGTCTCGTCGTCTGTATCAAACGAACTCTTAAAAAGCTGTCCGGAACAAATGCGCCAAAATAGGACGCTTATTACACTTTTAAGTATTTTGATCTCTCAGCATCACGTCTTAAAAAATTTAGTCCTACCGGAACATCAAAACATGAAAGTGAGATTTGATCAAGTCAAAGACAATTTGCCTTGAAATTCAAAGATAAAACGGATTACATTTTGCAATAAGGAACCACCATCTTTGGCTCTTTCATAAAAGCACCTTCTGCATAGGGAAATCAATGGCATATATGATGTTCTTAAAATGAGCCGTAAATAGTGGTTCCGTATTGCAAAATGTAATCCAAGTCGTGGTTCGAAAAATCGGAAAAATTCTCGATGGGCCGATCTCTCACTCAGCTAAAGCCCGGTAAAATTCTTGAGACTGCCCGGATTCAATTATTTTCAGATGACATTTTCGTGTGTCAGGAACCGCTGAGTTTTAGAGACACCTTATAATAATTATCACCAAATGCATTTTTATCCGCTTTGATCACTCGCAGAGGTCGGAGAGGGTCCCTCTTATCGTATTTATCCGTTGACCCCATTATTGTATGTAGAATCAATGTTTAAACTGAGACTAAGAGTATAATTTAGGTTCGTAAAATTTTACTTTCGGCAAATTAAGTTATGCAGACTTTTGCACAGCACTTAGATATTTAAAATATGTAAAACATTAAAATTAAGTGTAAAAAAACCACTCATAGGCTTATAGCAAGAGAGAGACCAATCGTAAAGGCGCAATTACCACATGAATTACATTTTGCAATAAGGAACCACTATTTCTGGCCCATTTCAGAAACAACATACATGCCGTTGGTTTCCCTATGCAGATGTGTGCTTTTATGGGAGAGCCAGAGATAGTGGTTCCTTATTGCAAAATGTAATCCACATAATCGATGTTGAGAGAAATTCTCTGAAAATCTAAATTCAATGAAATTATTTCTTCAAAAGGATTAAACTTTCATTTATTTTAATTTCGTAACAATGCCCTAAAACTGGACTGTTATGTTTGAATTGCCCGCCACACCGGTCGAACCGTTTTAAGCATGGTCGTCTGAATAAAATCTCTCTTGGTTCGTCATCTCTACATTCGTTTGTCTCATCTTTTTTTGTCTTCCCGTTTCGAGTCTACCAAATATATCATGGACAAAATTATCATAGCCTGTACTCTTGTAGCACAAAATTTCAGGATATTACCTTTTAGATTATCAAAGAACTTTGCAACTGTTAAATACTGAAACATGATGGAACAACTCTTGATTGGACTTCGTTGATAGAACTGAAATTCTGAAGGAAAAGCGTCCATTAAAAGGAAATGACGTATAGGCAAAATCAGCCAATTCAACTGAGGTTTTTAAGGGACGAAACTTGAAGATTGAAACAGGTGTCTTAGGATTGAAATCCCTAGTTGAATGAACAGTTCTGTGACAATAATCAAAAAAAGAGGTAAAAGTCCTACTCCGATATAACGATTGACTTTAACTGAAAAATCGTCACAAATAGGAAATCGAGAAGAAATCAATTTTCTTACTTTTTACACTTCAATATTTTATGTGTTTACACGTGTACAGTTTTGCGATGGCTAGTGTATATAGCTTTTTTGGGATGGGACCAACCAATAAGGACCCTAATTGTGGAAACTGAAACTGAAACTTCATGCGACACAGAAAAATCTCATTTTGGGTCAGAATTTATTATCAGTTTTTGATGCAAAACGCTTTCCAACACTCCACAGAAAACATGGCATCAAAATTTTCGGGCATGATTTTTATTATCAATGATGTTGGGAAATTCTAAAAAGAATCATTTCCTAGGCAGCGCAAGTTAACCCTCGCAGCGTTTTTCGACCTCGAGCTCACTATTTTTTGCCTTCAGATTTTAAATTTCTCCCAAAAAGTCTATATTTAGAAATTTTTTATATTCTGTGCACTTAGCGATGCAAAATTAACCACTCCAACCCTTGTTTTCACTCCCCCCTACCGCAGGGCCCTTTTTGCCTAACAAATCACGTATACTGGCAAAAAAAAACACATTGGATCTAGAGTCCAGACTCTTGAAATCACTGATGAGAAAAAATACCCTTGATTCAATCGGATTTTTGCTTAAATCAAAACAAAATCCGCTTAAATTAAGAGGCTTGGTTCTTGATTTAAGCTAGATTCTGATTGAATCAAGAGTACTTTTTCTTGTCGATGTTTTTAAGGATCTGGACTCCAGATCCGAAGTGTTCGTTTTTCCAGTGTATAAAAAGCGAAGGGACGTCGGCCAAACTACATTAACAACGTATTATATCCGTATTATCTGCACAGAGCATCGAACCTGGAGGGTAGAATGTGGAAACGGAAATAGGCAGTACCTACCTGACCAAGATCCAGTTAATCGCTCGATCGATCGGCAGAAGGCGGAAATTTCACGGGCGCACTTCACACGTGGGTCAGAATCGGAAGCGCGGGTCCGCGGGGTAATTGGCGGTCAGGAGTCACGACACAGACTGAGCTGACCACTGACCGATAGAGCGAATGCGTCTGGGCGAAGGATGACAAACACGGTTGCCATCCAGTGTGGGGATTTTGCAAAATCCCAACAATAACCAGTGAAATTGTCGATTTCCGCGTGAGATCTTGCAACTCTGTCGGCAAACCACAATTCCACCGGCACCGGGTCACCGGGTGCGCAAGGTCAGAGCAGAGCAAGTGGTTATGCATCCGCTAGCTCCGGGCGCCACGAATTTCAGATCGGAACGAACGAGCTTGCCTAATTTGGCGGGAAATTAATACGAAGTTATTGTTGGGTTAGGTCAGGGAGGGTTCACCGTCAACAATTTCATGCCTATTTTGCCGCTAGAAAACCCGGGTGATAACAGCGCGGAGTGGAATCGACTTTTTTTTGCGAATGATGAATAAATAAAACGCTCTTACGAAGCGGCCTTCACCCCTCATTCATATCACTCGGGTTTTATGAAAGTGGGAAAAGCTTCGGAGTGAAATACTATCCGGATCTCACTGAGAGATTTTTATCAGGTCGTGATCCGCGAAAAAACTGATTGTGAGGGTCAACGTAGTTTTGGACTAGGGGCTAAAAACCAAATTTTCCATGAGCGAACTTGATTCTTTCCGAATCAACGATTTCTAGTATGCATGAAGTCATAGTTAATTCACACGTCAAAAGTAGCAGCGTTTTCTGATTGGAGTCAATATAGTCGACATGAGAACGGTATGGAAGTTATGTGCATTGGTGTTTCGCCGTCAGTGTTCGAGGTAGGCTAGAAAACGTCCACTGTTTGCAATTATTTTTGGCTCTACACTGAAAAAAAGCAACAGACGATACAGACATACCGTCCGTTCCGGGCTCAGCGGCTGAAAGTTCCGGGTGCTGGAGCCGCAGCTTCGATTGCTCCGGGTACTACGCCCGGAACTTTCGGCCGCGGAGCCCAGAACGCGGACGGTATGTCTATATGACCCGTAAGTCCGGATTCCATGGCCGGAGTTTTTTTTCAGTGTAGGGTTTGGATCTAGGGGGTGGAACAATACCGCGTAACTAATAATTTTGACAAAAATAAGTTGGCAACTTGGCCGCATTCTAACATAATACACAATACTCGCAATACTCACAATACATAATACACAATACTCTAAGGGAGCGATTCAATTATGCTCTTATGTATGAAAATATTACGATTCGAACCTTAAAGTTACAAAAATGGCAAGTTTTCTCATTCTGCAAAATTGTCGGTTTGTTAATAGGCGGTATTGTTCTTTAGCCATCGATTTGAATCTTGCCTCGCTGTAAATATGTCAACTTAAAAGTGACTAATTTGATAACCTCTTGTTTCAATGCAAGACCACATGATTCTCTGGCACTGAGTGAATAATGCAGAAATAGCGTAGTAATCAATGGGTGGCGTAAAACTGAAGCGATGATGTAGAAATATGTGCATTAGCAGAAATTCAAATGTATTGTTTATCTAGCCAAAGCTTTAAAGCCTCTTATGGGCTAGCAAACTCTCCAAGGTTACCTCTGCTTAAGAACTAAAAAATTGCCTATGACATTACCGTAAACATTTTTCTATAGAAACTTGTTCGCCCCCCCCCCCCCAATAGTTGTGGCCACAAATTAAACGACGATTTTACTAGAATATTTGACACTGCCAAAACCGCTAGCTGTTAATGTCGTGATTTTCAATGTTTAAAATGGAGGCTGAGGAATTCTCGTCGAAATTCAGAATTACAAGTAGAATGTTAAAAGTAAATATCATACTTACGCGAGGTAGGTACTGCTTTTGCATGCCTTGCCTCGCGAAAGAAGGTGAAGGATGATGGAGGAGGAAAGGAGATGGACACCACAGAAGGTAGCCTGCGAGAGGTTGTTCTCGTTGCTTTAAATTATTCGAGATGAAAAGAGTACTATAAATTGCATAAACCTATGTTTGAAGGAGTTTCAAAATAAATAAGTATTTCAATCTTTGTAGGATCTACCCTATAGTATCTATGTCATAATTGAGAATGCTATCCGACATGAAGGCGGATTGGGAATTGGACATTGGTCTGCGCGACTTCGACCCATCCCTTTGAACCCCGAAGTAGTATCGAACGGGACCGCAGTAGGGGTCGAAGTATCAACCTATTGACACTGCCTCAAATCGATGGCCCTCGCATTGATTTTAGAACGCGCGGGCGAGCTCTCTGGTTTCGCAAGGACCGAGAGAAACTTCTTCATCTAAACAATCGCAGAGAGCGTCAAAAACCGAATAACTTCATGACAGTTTTGAGTAAATCAGTCGACATTGGATCAGCGCCAATCGCTCACTATCGATTGAAGTGAATCCTCGCAGTTTTGGCGCAATGCAATCTAGGTATAATCAATGGACTTCAAATTTTAACTGTTTGGAGGATTATTTTGAAAATATTGAAATGTTAGTCTGTAGATCAATCGCTAAGAGGCATTCACTCCAAAAAGTGTTTTTCGAAACCTTGTGATATACTTTCAAAAGTACTGTTTTCAATTGATAATTATGATAGCGACTCTTCGAAACTCGAAACTAGCGAAGTTAAAAATTATAAACATTATTTTCGAATTTATTTTGAGGGCTGAAGGTTAATTTTTTTCCTATGACCGTTCCTTGATTGGTCTGCAGACTAATTATTCGGTGTTTCAGGTGGCGAAAATTTGCAATACATCGAGAAACAGTTAACTGTACAACAGCCACCAAGGGTATTTCTTGCTTACGTAAGGCGCAACCAAAACCCAAGCGGATCTCCCATCAGATACCATGCCATTCATCGAATTGATGTCACGCGAAGTAAGTACCTGCATATGTGTTACATAAATCAGCCCTCTTGCAGCGGGATGAACGCAATGCCTTGGAAGGAAGGGGAAATTCCGAAGAAACTGAGGAGAGAAATGGACTGCATTTTGCAATTAGGAACCACAGTTTCTGGCTTATTTTAGAAACAGCATATCGATGGCTACAGTGCGACACCACGTATCTCCATTGCGGTGTTTCAAAATCTTCGTTCTTGATTTATTTTTTCGAAGAGGAACAAGTCGATTTCATAGCTTGAAATTGATTCAAAATATTCTACTAACAGAGAGGAAAATTCAAGGAATTTTTCAACAACTTACTTAGACTAGTTTTCCAAGGAAAAAATAAAGTATGACCGTCAGTCTACAACGTCGCAAACATATAAACTTGGTCTCGCATTTAAGCTATCGATATGTGCCTTAAGTTTCCCGATGCAGATAGGTGATTTTATGGATGAGCCAGAAATAGAGGTTCCTTTTGACAAAATGCAGTCCATGTAAGAACAATTACGAGGATAAATGATCACTGAATCAAAATGGAAGTAGTCTCTCTCCTCTGCTTGCAAAATGTGTTTTTGTTCGTTAGTTTGTTTTATTTTAAATCAGAAAAAAATCAAAAACAAAAAACTCATCAGAAAAATGAGCTTTAACTTCAGTATCGACGGCTCACCATTAAAAGATCTTAATAATTAAAATAAGACGGTATTTTTTTTTACGTATTTTGTTTTCTACTATCGCGCTTACTTAATAGGTATGTATTAACGAACCTCTCGATGGTTGAAATTTTTGTTTCAGCTCCGAGATAAATACCTACTCGAAAAAGCGTAGATTTAAACTAAATCCCTGAGGAACATTAACGGATTGAGGCAATGTTGTAACTGACTTTCAAAAAAAGTCTTCAGTTTTGATCAAACTTTACACAATGATCAAACGCTCAAAATATTTTCATCCTTTAAACATCTATGAATGTTATAGGTAGCAACAATCGGTATTGAGTAGCAGGGTGCTCGTATAGTCTGCTCGCACAGTCTGCCCTGCGATCTTGTTAAACCGCGAGCTTTATCTCTCTTTATACAGCCTTCAATTGGAAGACACTACATCACTCACAAAAAAATCTTTTGCTATCTCTACCATGCTGAGGAGGAACGCCGTATTAACATTCAAGAGTTGCCAAATCTCCCCGAATAAAACATGTATTTCTGAGGAAATGTATGCATATTTTCCTTGAAATTTGCAGACATCTTTTATTAAATTGCAGACAAAATCGTCCAAATAATTTTAAGAAAATTATCCACAATTTTCTCGGTAAACTGGTTATTTATGAAAGGACATATGGCAACGTCTAAAGGCTCATACAGAGTTTCTCCTTAGCAGGCAGATTTGGACTCAAATGATTACGCAAAAAAATATATTAAAAAGATAATGTTTTCCTCTTTTTAACGGGGAATATATTTAATGACGCCCACAAGGCTACGCAGCATTCGCATAAATTCATATAGTGCCAGAAACTTTACAACCCCATGATGTAGTTCAATTCATTAGCCCATTCAAAGTGTATTACTTACGGAGGTAGAGACGTTTTATTTTCATAATTAAGTAAAAAAAAATAATGCATCCATCTAATAAATGGATGTAGCGATAGTCTATCGGCACAGAGCTAAAATGGGGAAGGCTAATAATAACTCGCGGACGTTTATTATGAGTCATGAACTTGAGTTCATTTACTTATGCAAACTATGCAGCAGGGAAGCCAAAGGGACTGGGACAACATCGTACGAGTGTCTATATCTATTTATTGCTTCTCGCGGGATATTTTTCCGCGAAATTGTGTAGTGAGTAGATAGTGGATGTAGCGATGAGTGCACTGCGGTATCCACTAATTGTTCTTTCCGCTTGTTCCATCATCATCCTGAAAAAATAGAAATTAAAAAAAAAGAGGAAAAGAAAAAACAAAACAATGAATATATCGCCTCGTCGATTACAAAACGAGAGTTGCCAGATAGCCAAAACAGCGCCGGATGTAGGAGTCGATGGGTTGCATTGCATGGNCGAAAACTTTAAAATTCAAATTTTCAAATTTTGAACGTAAAGTACATTTTTTCCATCACGAGATAAAAGCACAAACAAGTTTTGAATTGTTGACTGTATCACCATGATTCCAAAAATACAATACACAACATAGCATTGACTAACA